TATAGCAGGGGATAGTATACTTCACAAAAGGGGAAGCTAGGTCCTATATTCAAATTTTCTGTTCTGAGGTTAAAGAGGCTAAATACCACCAGAACTCTCTCAACTCGGACAGGACAGCACCTGATGCTGCAAGAACAATGAAATCCCTGCTTCCCGATGCCAGGGAATCTCTACAAGTAATCACTGCACAAGCTGTAATAAACAAGATGCTGCTAAAGTGACACCCAATGTATAAAGGATCATCATACTTACATAGTTTAAAAAAGTGGCCACACGATTTCCAGTCCCTAACCGCTTGAAAGCATCTGGCTCATCTTTCTATAAAATTAAATGAGAATAACTGCAAACTTCAAGCTCACAGACAGGAGACAAACAGAGGTACTTACATAGTTAAGAAACGTCGCTAGCCTATTTCCTTCCGATTTGAGTGTGCTGTCAAAGGGTCGCTGTAACAGACAACAACTTTAACCCAAGTTCCAAACAGGCTCACACTAGAGTTACATATGTGTAGCTCTGCAGAGAGATCCTTAAGCCCAATTTAAAGAGTTGGAATTGCAAGGGGACTCTTGATACAGGTCAATGCTAAAGCCGTTGCAAATCACAGCCAGGGTGCATAACTGCATGCACAGAGCACTCAAATGCTATAGGAAGAAGCAGCACTGAAGGAGTTCTTAGGGCAGAGTAGAAGCAAGATTTTCAGTGCCTGTGGCACAGATGTTATCCCAATAAAGTTAACAGGCCATTACTGTACTGGACAGTGATCCAAAGTCAACAACTGAGGTAAATACGAAAAACTCATCTTCAGTGGCTTTAGATACTACACTTGATTCTTGCAGATGTAGTAGTGACTTCAATACTGTCATGAGAAAAGGCAGGTTTTGCCAGCAGGCAAAACAGCAGAATAGTAATACTGAATTTCTTTTAGGTGGTTACTTGTCTAGGACTAAGCACCACATCAAAAAGATCAAATTCTCTTTATTCTGCAAGAAACACTGAGTTTTGTTTGCTGAAGTACAAGATCATGTTGGTGCCAGTTTCGATGCGGAAAGAACATCTACAATACCAGTGCGTGTGTCTCCCCTTTATAAATGCAATTAAAAGTACATTTACATTGCTAACAGGAAGAAATTTCAGCCAGGAGACATTAAGGTGCAACTTTCTCCACAAAACCATAATCTTTAACATTTAAAGAAAAGCAGAACCAGTATTAAAGACAAACAGCAAAGAAAAAATCACAGCCACTATCTCTAAGGTGTTAGAGCTCAATGTACTTGAAGTGCATTTCAAGAAATAAAACGTCCTTCCTGAAATGGGTTCATAAAAACTCAAGACTCTTGTATTTGCATACGCAGATTCAATCTGAAAGAGACAACCTAAAAGCACTGAGGTGCATCCAGGTCCAGCCATGAACATCTGAACTTCAACAGCGAAAGACTTCTATAGCTTTTGAGCAGCCAATAAACTCTCAAAGTTGTAATATGCAACTATTAACGTGTCCCCATGTGAACTGCAGGGGAACAAAAAGCTGCAAGGCTGCTGAGGAGATGGGCAGACACAGCAGTACTTCTGTAGCTCCATACTGAAAATCTGTGATGCACAGAGAGCCTGGAGGACCAGTCCAGAGCTATGGCAAATTCCACGACTCCCAGAACTGATGCCTGCAGCCAAGGTTATGTTCCAAGTGGAGCTCTGCCCCAGCTGCCTAATCCAAAAGTCAAGTCCACACTGGCCAGTTTGATGGCTGAGGTCCTTGAGTTCAAAGGCTTTGAAGATAATTTAAGAGCATTTGCTTGACTCAGGAAATGAAGCAGTCTTCAAGTTAACGGGAAAATTCTCTGAACAGGCCAAAGCTAAGGAATATGAGCTTCCACAGTGCTGAGGCTCAGGATTGTTGTGTTTTTATTATTTTAAACAGTGCTAAGTTGGGTGGCTTCAACTCTGCACTCAATTATCGGGTTGTGCTCTGGCTGCAGAAACCCCTTCTACCGGGTAAAACCACTGGAACAGCCTGAATTAAGCCAGATTCCACTGAAATGCCCCGGATCTGCTGGAAACCAGGGCATCAGGTGGATTTTATACCTGAAATTACCAGTCACCGTGGCTCTTCAGTACGATTAGCATGTTCATAAACTGTCCTAGGGTAACAATTAACAATGTGTTCCTCTTTTCTCCTCACTTGCAGCAAACCAGAGCTGTTATCAGCCAGGTAGAGCCCTCTAGTGCCTACTGGGGACCTGGCACCCACCAGCTGCAAGCTCTGCTCCCTGTAGCCCTGTCCTCCTGAAACCAACAAACCCTCTTCAGACGCTATAGCTGCAGCCACACTAAAGGTTTTGCCTTAGAAGGCCTGCATGGCCCATGGAGATTTCCATAACAGCTACTCTTTGGAGGGACATCTCCTCCTCAGCTAGCTCCAGCAAAGTGCTTTACAATATCCTCCAAAGGAGGACTCAAAACAACCTTGCTGAACTCAGAAGCCTAATGGAACAACAGGCTCACAACCCGGGCTTGCAGACCTCAGTTTCCAAGTGAAGTAATGGAAAGAGCATATCTGAGTATATCTTTTAGTGTCTCTATACTGTGCAAGGAACCAAGATAAGCAGGCAGATTTGTTCCTTCTTCCCTTGAACTTTCAGCAGAGAAGGCAGTGCAAAGGCTTTTTGAAAGTCATAATCCATCCATGCAACAGGGCTATCCATTAAGTGTTTTAACAGAAAAGAATTTCAACAGTTTCCTCTTAAAATATCCTGTTCCCCTCTCTCCGCCCCACTAAGAAATAATTGAAAGTGTGGTCTTACCCTAGAAAAATCAAAGTGTGGCTCATACTGCCCTCCCATTCCATAGTTGGCAACCTACAGCACGAAAGAAAGAAGCATTAACATCGACTGAACTGCAAGGGACTGCTGCAGAAGATTGCATTTGCTCTCCAGAAATCCAAAACATGCTTTGAGAAACAGCACTTTGTGGCAAGATTGTTATCTAGAGCACACTTAATTTCTCTTTAGCTTGCCAGAAATGAGGTACGTGCATGAGAAACAACCCGAATGTACCAACCTGCAAGAGTTCAGCTGTCTTCACTGTTAACCCTGTGATCTGCTGCATTCGTTGATTCACCTTGGCCACAACAGGATCATCATCTTCCTCCAGCCATGAGCTACAAGGGAAGGATTGAAACATGTTATTTTGGAATACCACCCACAACACCACCCTTCCCAAGGCAGAAGGATTCTTCTGCCCTCACTCAGATGGCTGAAAGAACCATTTACCATGCATTTATTGAGGAAGCTCTTGCTACATGCAAAGCAGTTCAAGTTTTCAGCTGGAGACAGGCATTAAGCACAAAGCCCTTAGAGCTGCACTCCTCTCTGCTTACCTTTTCGATACCCTGTAGCTAGCCACTGTAAGGACACCGGTTTTGGGATCACGTACTGTGGCTCGTGCCAGCTGTGTCAAAAAAATCCCAAGGGGGAAGAAACACATCAACTCCAGGTTAGGAAATAATTCCCTCTCATCTTAACCAAAATCAACACCTGATTTGCCAAACTCCAGTATACCACCAGATGAAAGTTACAGCTCCAACCTAGTCTGGTCTGATTTCATGCTAGTACAGTACATGCAGACACACAAGTGCAATCCATAACTGGCACTGGATCCTGGAAAAAGAATCTGACTGACTGCACAAGCCATGATATTCATTAAATCCATGAGTACTGCTTGCTGAACAGGGTTTGAAGGCACTTTTTTAAACAACTGCACTCAATATTAACAAGAGGGAACAACAAGAGTTAACAACTTAAGAAGCTCAAGTTCTTTGCAACAAGAAAATCTCTGGATACTCAGGAATTTAATCAGCCTGCTCCTCACATGGACTGAAAACACCCAACCACATTCTCCCATGAAAAGCAGCAAGTGAAAACTTTCACAGAACGAGTTACAAGTTATGGGACAGGCAAACCCACAGTGGTAGAAAACCCCTGAGGGCAACTCTCAACGTTCCTGTGCTCAAGATGTTCCTTGTTGGAAGATGCCTGGAACACTGAATTCACAGAGACAGTCTGAGACATGTTACTACATTACGGAGGTACCTCTGCAAACGCACAGTCCACCTACACATCTTACACAGCGAGTTCTGTATCACCAGTCAGGAAAAGTTTGGAACTTGGCAAAGCTGCCGAGGTTTGCTGTGGTGTCAAAGCGGTGGCCTAGTGCTACCATCACACAACGGGTCACTTTGGTTTTCTACGTGCAGCTGAGAACAAGAACTGGGACACTCCTTTGACTGTAAACAGAGACCACGTTTAAATTTAACTCCTGCAAACCACAAACACTTTAAATCATGCCTCCTTCCTTCCCACTTGATTATAGGTCACAGAAAGCCTTTTCAGCTGCATTTTCTTCAGAGCATGCAGTCATTATTTCCTTCATTTTTCCTCAAGTAAGCCTCCAGCCAGCTCTACAATCCATGTCAGCTGTCTTGTCCCTCACACAAGAGCTCTTGGCACAACTGTTGCTGCAATTCTGACTCACTGTTATTTTGTTCCAGATTTCTCCTGCATAAATCATAACAGAAGAGCCAAGCTGACAATCTTGTTCTTCACTGGTACAATGAAGCATAGCTTTGGGGATATAATTTCACTTCCCAAACTTTGCATTCTGCTGCCACTTTCAAGCTTGTATACGCTTGCTTGATTTCTGCACCCAGCATTTGATCTAAATAAACCAGAACTAAACCAAGCCTGACCACATTTGTTATTACTCCACATCTCCTCTTTCTGATAGGCAGCCTTCTTCATTTAAGACAGACAATCTGTATCTCACTGATAAACGTGAAGCTTCCTCTCTCAGGCTGGCGACAGCAGCTTTACCACACATTTGCTGGGCTGTGAACAATCACAACACACTGCATTGGCCAGAAGCTTCACCCAGTCGTCCCCTTAGAGTCTGCATTTAGTTTAGCACGTGCCCCATTGGCTTTTCCTTCTGAAATCCTACAGCACCGAGTCCAAAGGTGTGTCCCTCCCCTCCACACCTTACTTCTGCCTCTTCATGCCTGTACTGCAGGTAGCATCCAGGATTGGAGAATAAGGTTCTTTAACTTCACAGCAGACCTGTCCCTACGCTGCCCGCTCCAAGAGTTCAGACTTCTCTTGACCCACCCCAGCCAGCTCTGAGGTATTGCCCGAGAAGTTGGAACTGCTTTTTGGCACTGGAGTAGACGTGATTGCATTTTGCAAAACAAGCATGCAAAGCAACTTGAATATAGCTCCTCTCAATCACATACAGATGTTGTTTCTCTACAAAACAAGAAGTGTTGGCAAGTGTAAACTGCAGATAATGTTAAAAGTGCTTGGACCCAAAGGGAGAAATTTCTTGCAGATGCATTTTAGAACAAAGGAAGTGCTCATCTTTGAGCCCAAAACTAACATACTGCTTCAGAGTTCTGTCTGAAAGCTTCCATGATTGCTAACTAAAATTTCCTGGCTGAAATTAAGCTGTATTTATTAAGGACCATTTCAGCACAGGGCTTGCACTTTCCATTCCTTCAGCAGTTCTGTAGAATTTAAAGCTATTCCTGCAGCTGAGCCACAGACAGGTTTAGAAAAGAGTTTGGAGAAAATGAGTGCTTTTCTTTTAATTGAAAACTTTAGTCTGACTCTTAAGACTATGATATTAACCCCTTACAGGGACTAATCCCAGTCCTACACTAGATTACACAAAGAATTCCTCTCACATTGAGTTTTGCTTATATTACTAGTGAACAAGACTTAAGACTTTCCACAGAACTTTAAACAAAAAGGGAAAACCAAGAAAATTAATAGCTGCCTTAGAGTGTGCTTAATTTGATAGAACAGATTAAGTGATATGTGCTATTTGAGTATTTCCATTTTATCTGAAGCTCTTGAAGTTTTATAGTATGATGTAATAGGAAAAAACCCCTCTCATTTGCAGAGGTGTGAGCCCTCTCCAAGACAGAAGTGTTCTGCCAACACTCCCATAGCCGGCTGGTAGTCATGGCAGTCCAGTGTCACAAGCATCCTACGTTATTAATGATCTTAGGAAGCACCAGTTTCTCAAACTGCTCCTAACTGTTTATATTACATACAGAAGGGTAATTCTTGACTAGAATTTTAGTACCACATTTCACAGGAGCTGGAAGAGTGCTAAAATGAACCACTCATCTATAAAAATGGAAATGTTTAGTTTTACATGCTTGTCTTACAGAGTAAGGTGTAGCATCTACAACTGACCTCCCACTGTCATACTTCTGCCAGAAGAGGAACAGACAGGAAACCCCACCTCCAGAAAAACCAGACAAGATAATTACTAGCTTTGCATTTTTTAGCTGCTTTTTTGTGTCATCCGAACTCACATCATGAATAACGGGAATTACATCAGATGCAGGCTTCTTACTCAAAGCTGCTGCCTTATGAGTTGGATCTACACGTGGCATACCAGCATATCGAGGTGGAAAAGTCAGATCTAAAGTGCTCTGGGAGAATGACTGCATTGTGCAGTCATCCTTACAAGTACTCTGACCTTCCCAAGTCCAAGATCAGGAATTATTTAAGAGCTCTGTGTTAACTGTGTCGCATGATTCCCAACAAAGCTGTGTGTGGCTTCAGGAGAACACCATGGTTCCACCCACAGATACACCATGGCATCCACAGTGCCTGCCTCTGTGCAGGTCTGGGCTATGGTTTAAACAGAAGCATTGGATTCCAGGTTACTTGAAGCAAAAAAAAAAAAAATAAAAGAGAACTCCAGATATTCTTGTAGCACAACTTAAACCCAACATTTCTTCCCATTTCTGCTGGGCTTTGGGCTTTAATTTTGTTTTGAAGTTCAGCTCCATTTCAAAAGGCAGACTTAATGTATGTTGGACACCTCTCATATCACAGTAAGCCAAACGATCATGTACTTTACAGGTCTAGTCCCTAGTTTCCTAAAAGGTTTCCAAGCCATTTACTGAGAATTTTGCATAATTAAGTGCAACAATGCATAAATACCTTCAGGAGCCTGGGCTTTATGGTCCTACATCACCAGGCAGTTTCGAAATCGTTCCCCTTAGGCTCACAGCTGCAGTGTATCATCTGTAGTATGAAACCAGATCTTTCAAATCCTTTGCCTAGTCTTTACTAAGAGATTAAAGCATGGAATTAGCAGTCATTAGTGAGACAGAAGAGGGAAAACTTACCCTTGGCTTAGCTAGTTGTTTAATTTTCTCAATCTCCTCATCAGACATGACATCATAGTACCGCACAATGTGAGGGCTATCCCATTCATCTTCTTCCTTAAAGGGAGCTATAAGCAGATGAGGGTTTCTGTTCCCATCATGATACCTACAAAACAGCCTTTTCTGTCTTCGAGGTGTCTGGAACAAAATGTCAAAAAATACATTGTTTGTTCAATTACTTTTCATGGACTTAAAACAGGCAAGACACAAGAAGAGAGCAAGCTTCATGCCACAAACACTGTAAAAGCCATTAGCTGACAGCAAACTTGAGAGGCAAGCATGAGTGATTCTGCACTTTACTGCAAGCAAAAACCCATACACCACTCAAGATACTACTGAGCACCAGCTGAAACACTAACCCTTCAGAGAACTAAATCAGAATAGGTTACAGAGTAAGCAAATAACTACACAAACAGCCAGCTGTAAAAGAAAGTCTGCTTCTTATAATTAAGACTACGCAGATGGAATAGATTCCTTTCCCTGCACTGAGAATTTAAAGCCGTATTTCTCAAGAGGCACTGGAGACTGGTTCGTTGAAACAATCACCCCAGAAGGACATTTCTAAGATGCTAAAAGGAAGGAATAAAATGATTCTGAAGTGTGGCAAAGCACAACCAGCTCTCCAAGAAAACAGCCTCCTAGTACATCTGGACAGTCAGCAGTCAGGCTGAACAGACAGACTGAGGAGAATCAATTTCCAGTGACCTTTAAGAGGTACAGTTGAGAACTGTTCTTCTGTTTAGGATTAACTGCTGAAGGTAGAGAGGCCAAGATATAAGATACAAATCTCAACCCAGGCAGAGCTACATTATTTTTTTCTTAGAAAAACAGCTTCACAGAAAGAAAAACCTCACATGTCCCACCAAGCTTGATCGCTCTCATGCAAAGGCAGCAGACAGGAAATTCTTGCCTTTCTCTTACCATTTTTACCCCTTCACCTCTACAAAGGGCCTCATAGATATCACGCTCTGGCAAGTAGTCAAGAGGCCTCTCGTAAGCACCACTTTGCACCACTGGTTCTGTTGTTGTCATGGTCTTGTTTGACTTCTCTTTCTCCTCCTCCTCTCTCTCCTTTTCCAGCAACTTCTCAAAGTACCGCAGATTACTGCCTGCCCTCTCATGAGTACTGTCTTCATGGGGAGACAACCAGACAGAAACAGTGATTTAAACAATCTCAGGAACTGTTAGGACAAACAAGTCTTTGTATTAAGACAGCAATAATTCTCCCCTTCTTAAAGCATTATCAGGCAACCAAAGGCACTGGCTCATCTGCACTAAAAACCAGCACCAGGAAGTTTGGTTTTGCAGAGAAAAGGTAGGCATATTCTGCAAAAGAATCTTTTCTGGAAGGACTCATCACAAAACCTGTATTCCAAGAAAAAGAGGAGGAGTTTTTGGTCTTCACATCCCTGCTTTTCTCTCAACTCTTCTGTCAAATTCTTCTAAAGAATTCAGCCACAGACTTCAGACCCAAAGACTTCCTCCAAAGTCAGGAAGCCCAGAGATAATGTGTAACCACTAACAGCCCACCCACAGAATCCATCTCTAGATGTTTGTAACAGGATTACATGGGAGGTAACCTACATCACTAACATCACTGGACCCATCATTAGTGATTTACTAATGATGTTGGTATGAACCATCAGATCTTTACCCAGCAAAACCAAGAAGGAACAATTCACTGTTCACTAGTGCTTCTGGACACTTGCACCTAGAACAGTTTCTTTCCCTTCTGGCCCTCGAGAGCTTATTGTGTTTATCTTATGGAACTAACCCAGAAGGCCACTGAAATAACCACTCATTAGAGCTCAGGCTAACAGTGGCCTGATGAGGAAGTTGAGCCAGAGCAAAGGAAGCTGCTGCTCCCAAGGGGGCCTGCCAAGTCTGTTCCACTGTTTGGTGCTGATAAGGATTTACATTCTGCTACAGTGCTAAACTGTATTGCAGAGGGAGCTACCTTCAATATTCACACTCTTGTACATTTTAATCTGTGAATCCCAGTGTCTGCAGAAACCACTGATACATTTTTCAATAGAAAGGCTTCACCCATGCTCAGGATGCAGTTAGCATCTAAAGTTAAGAACCACCATTGATTAAAAAACACAAATGCGTAACACAGTAGATGTTAACTCTAATTGGGAAGGCTAAACCTTTCCAATGCAGGAAGCAGGCAATGTTGGATAGGAAGCAATGCTTATTTGCTTACTCAAGAGACAGCTAGAAACAGACCAGAGATAAAAGGAGGCTTTAAGAAACTCAATCTGTTCTGAGTATTCAGTAATAAATACTCTAAGATCTGATCTTAGGCAAAGTACTCTTCTGGCATCAAAGAGTACCCACACTGAGGAAGAAAGAGGAATATGTGAAGTCAGTAGGACTTCAGAGAAGATACAGCACTGTCTAAACCTGTGGTAGTCTTGATCTCCTCTTCAGACCTGACCAAACACGCCTCAGGACGCTGAAGCAAAGCACCCAGGTCCTGCAGCCAGACTCACATCTCATCTCAGGTAATAACAGCACAGACTATAAGATAGCTTGTTAAAGATACTTCATGTGTAAGTGGACTGTGTTCTTTTCCACAACCTATAAGTCATCTGGCAGGATACCCTTCCAGTCAGCTCACTTGTATGGACCCTTGGCTGTTGTTGGCTCTGCTGCTGGCAACACTCCCCAGTGCTCAAATAGCAGGTCTTTTGTTCTTACCAAGGGATATCAGCCGCCTGGTAAGCTCCATGGCTCTGTGCAAATCCCCAAACTGGAAAACAGCATAGCTGAGATAATCTAGGATCTCCACTTTGCTGACTGTCGTATCCTCCCCTTCATCATGTTGTTTTAAGGCTTGTTCCATCCAGAGTACTGTGTGATAGTAGTCTCCATCATTGTAAGCAGTCTTCCCCATACCAAAGCAGTCACCTACTGTCAAATAGGACCTATACTTTGTTCCTAAAAGCAGAAAGACAGCATATTAAGGAATATCAGTAAATACACTTTTATCATCCAAAAAGGCTTCTAAAAGACAATCTTCAGAGTTAAAGATTAAATGCTATCCTAGTTCTGTTTCCTTTGGAAACCAAGAGAAGTATAACATAGAAATGACAGTGTTAAGCTATTGTGTTATTCACAAAGGCAGAGCAGACCAACAGCTTAACAGGTTTTACTGAACCCGTTAACAAATTAACACTGTTAGACGGTCAGGGAAGCCCAACTACATGCAGAGCTGGCCTGTTTGCTCTTTACTGGAGATGCAAATTTGTGCATAAGCAAGCTGATGGTTATTCAGACAAACTGGGTATCCATTTGACTGTAACTACACTGATTTCCAGTTGCTCCAGCTCAGCAGATGCACAGATAAGACTTAATTTTAAGTTCACTATTAATAACTTACATATAATAACTAAAACTGTTTTGTCAGCTCAGCTCCCCACTCTAGTGAAGCTTATTTGGTTTTAAACAGTGTGATGCTAGCAATCATAACCTGCTCCAGTAAGTCTCTCACAAGCAGCAGCAACATTTACCAGGGCTCAGCTGCCAAAACACCAAATCATCCCAATACACCTATGGATTGTCCAACACATCTTTCTGTGGCAAAAAACGTTAACCCCCATTTCACAGATAAATAACAGGAGCACAGTTACTCAACAAGAGCCTCACTGGAGGATCGCTTCCTTCCTTGTAAAGGAAAAGAGCCCTTTGTGCACTTACCTGGTAAGTTGCCTCGAGAGAGTGTTTCAGGATCCAGTTTGTATGTGTCCTGCAGGCGCATCAGGGCCTTTGCAGCTCCAGTCTCGTCCTCTTCCGTTGGGAAGAACTGACGCTGAATTGTAAGATTTGCAATAAAGCCTTTGCAGCGAAAGGGAAAGATGTTACTTTCAACATGTGAATACGTATCAGTACCAGATTAACACAGAAGAGGAAACATCTGCTTTGTTTTGGGAATTGAGATGCCAACAGTCCAAATTTAAAGGCTCTTATTAGGCTCTCAAGTTATAGAAACATGGTTTTCTGTCCCATTTTGAGAATACAGCTCATGAGCAAGAGATAAAGGATAAATACCTAAACCCCTCAGTTTTATTGTGCCACACAATCACTGAAGTACAACGTGAATCTAACGGTCTTCATTTTCTTGTCTCATTTTAGCATGAAAACTTAACAGCTTTCACCAGTTCTCTTGCAATACCCACATAGACAACTGCAGATCATAGCACTAGATAATGATTTCAGACTCTCTACTCCAGCATCTCAAATGTAAGCTCAGGGAGCACAGACCCTGATCCAGGACCCCCTAAGTAAGGGTAAGACCTTAGTAAGAGGCTTTTAAACCTGAGAAGTAAGACCAGGAGACACTTAGAAATGGAATTAAGCGCACTACATAAACATAGCAAGGTCATGCAGCAGGTTGGTTGGGCAGATGTGGGGGCCATCAACTGAAGGAAAACCACCCAGCCATTTCCAGTCATGCAGCAAGCAGAACTGGAAAGGACACCTTTAGAAAAAGAATTAGACAGAAGTACTTGATAGACGTGAGTAATTCACTTCCATCTAGGATGACTACTCCAAAAAGCAATAAAAACCTTGGCTGCAAAAACTTCCAACTACCTAAACTTTGGCATATGCGGCGTATAAAGGGAAATCGTGTAGTGTTCTGCCTAAAAACATAGCTTCTTCTCCATTACTTACATAGAGTCCAGTGAAAATAAACCTCCATTTAAAAAAATAAGCTCTGGAAGGAAACTCAGGCAGACACTTTGACAATATGATGCAAAACCAAAGATCAGTAATGGAAATATTTGATTTAGAAGGACAGATTTATAGATAGCAATTATTTATTATCCTGTTATCAACAGACTGACTACATCTGTCACCTCTTAATGCTGGGGCTGATACAAACTCGTCCAAAAATTCAGTATGTGTCTCATTTTGATTCTTAAATCTTATCTACTGATCAACGTGGTCAAAAAACAATGGTCACCGAGAGAAGCAACAGACTGGGAAAGTAGATGAATAAGTTTATATATGAAGGAACATAAAGCTCAAGACCAGGGATAAAACAATAGCTGCCAACACAGCTGACAACTGCAGCATATCCTATTCTTCCCTTCTCCTCAAACAAAACCAGTAACACCTTCTTTAAACCTTCACCGAGATGTGTTTCAGTGGCAGGTTTCACTCACTTGGGTAACCAGCAAACAGGAGCCAGTCCTTACTTTAAATTTCAAACAAACTTGGCAATAATATTTAAGCCACAGCTGCGTTTGCAGCTTTCCAGAACACAAGGAGGATAAGCAACTCTGTTGTAAGGCTACCTCCTGTTATCCTCTCCCCTGTAACTCCTTACCATTTGTTGTATCCTGAAGAACCAGGTTTTCCAATTCCAGCCAGTCAGTATTTAAACGCTTCACCAGCTTATACGCGTTTACAGGATGTGCCAGGTACCCTTCTGGATCTGAGGTTGACTTGCTGGTCAGTACATCCAGTTTTTCAGCCCAGCTGGAATAAGAAGTGTACAACTCAGTCTGGGAACAATTTATGAATGCATGTCTTCCTTCTTAAGTCATTCTAATTACGCTAAAATAAATTTATTGCTGGTTTTGCCATCATAACCAGCTTTCAAGCTTTCAACTTCACAAGGATAAAGTGAATTACAACTGATTTGTTTATAATAGTATCTTTATTTTAAAAGGTATTTGTTTCCCTGCTTATTATTTTAAGCCTTACTGCAGTAGAATCATCTCACTTGCAACAAGTCTTAGCCATCAGTTTCCAGCATCCTGCACTTCAAAAGATAATACATAGCAAACAATCACTGTGTCATTTATCTCTTAGTAAAATTACAAGGGTAAATAGAACTCCAAGAGTTTTTTAGCTTTGTGGAAACTAAACCATAAGCTTTGATTTTCAGACTGGAAGCCCTCACACAGCACAGCAGCAGCGGTGTCAGTCATCTAGGTTGTACTGCAGTCAGCTTCAAAGCAGTAGTGGGAATCTTCATCCTCTGTGCTATAGCCCATTTGAACCACCAACTGTGATGCTGATGCTATAGTGAGAATTCCTTCTGTTGTCCTTCATACTATCCCTTAACACAAACACGTGGCCAAGCTGTGTTCCTCTCTGCAGCACTTAGTAAGGAAGCAAACACTGCTGAGATAAGCTAGTAACTGAACAAAGGAAACCCCTTTGGGCCTGTAATCTCAACCTCCTTAAGACATGAATGAACTATGGTTACAAACAGCTTTACATAAGCCAGGCAACTATTGTCAGACTACCTGGCTCCTTTGTACCACAATGTCACAACAGAAACCAAGAGATGACTCTCCCAGAGCTCCTTGGCAGGGATACCAGGTTGACACCACAAAACCAGTGTCACCTGCGCTCCCTGCTAATTTAACTTTCACTACTTCCAATATTTACTTTGCACACAGTAAATACAATCAATTTCTAGTCTCTTTACATCCCACCCTGATTTTGAATCACAAACACACCTCTGGAGCTAACAGACAAGATACTGAATCTGTCAGGACGTTCAAATGAGGAAATTTAGCACCTCTGTTACAAAGCACATGCCTCATACAGCAGTGGGGTGCTCAAATACCAACACTGTGATAGAAGAGTCTTGCTTTCAAATACAAGTCAACCGGAAGTTTAGCACATTAAAAAAAGCACTTGCATACATCAAACCATAAAAAAAGAGACTTTTTAAGACCAGTTTATACCCAGATTGAACTGACATCAACAATATTTGGAGACTGCTCCTCCTCAGAAGGGCGGCTTTTAAAGAAATGAGTATTTGTGAACACAAGCGACAAGGAATTCCTATCACTGTAGTACTCCATAGCCACATCCCCACCCTACAGCCCCACAGGGAGACCAAACTGCCACGTATAGCCTGGAGTTTGGAAATCCTTTGGAAAGCATGGCTCTGTTTAGAGGCACTCAGCAATTCCAAACCTGGACCTCATTTACAGTATTCTAGTGTCATGCCCTGTTAGATAACAGTTACCTAGCTGCAAGTACTAACAGTCTTCCTAAGGGACACAGAAAACACTGGTTGTCAGCTAGAGCCTTTCAAGTGATCTAAGCAACCAGGATAATGCCCAAGACGTGCTGTAGCCAGGTTGGCAACTGAGGAGAACAAGGCAGGAGAGCTGTCCCTGAGGGCAAAGTCAACATGGGAAAGAAGCCAGGGATTTAGTGTGCACTCCACAGGATGCCACTGGCACGCTGTCATTATAAGCGGTGCTACTACAGGTAGCACAGAGCGCTGGCACTCAGAGGCATTCTACTCACATGGAGAAGCTTCTCCTGACAAGAAGCCTCTCCTGCTTCTCCACAGCAGCACTGTAATGGTACAAGGACAGAGAAGAGTGGGAAGAGCCCAGCAGACAGTTCCTAAGTAAACAGACAAAGTCTAAATGAAATCTGAAGCAGGGCCCCCTTTTTGCAGGTTTATGGGAATTAGAAGCAAGTTAGTACCTACAGTCTCACTGTGATTAACTACTGAGGAAGTACTAACAAGATCTAGCAGCAAAGAGTGGTGACAATGGTGTGGCATAATTGAACACGGATGAGCCATTTTATCACCCTTCATTACACAAACTTCTGCCCCTACCTTTTAATCTGAGAGAGTTTGCTCTCTTCTGCTCTGATATATTCCTTTAAAGACTGTACCAAGTCCTTCTCCGCATAAATCAGGTCTGTCATTTGACCTAAAAACAGGAGTATGAGTAAATGTTAATCAGAGCTTAAAAAGTAACAATTCCCAACAGCACAGAAGACAGACTTGAAATGCTTTAGGGCCATTAAAACCACCACAAAACAGACAAGTTAAGGGTGTGCACTTCAGTGCCTGTAAGCCACAAAAGCTGTTAAACACACAGCCTTGATGTTCAAAAGCTTCAAGGGGCTTTTAAAATCCCACCTTCAATGTAGTTTTGCTGTGACCCTTCCACTGCCTCTGAATTACTTTTAGTATTCCAATTGTAGGTAAGAATCAAAAGAAAGGTTTGACATTAATACAGCTGTTGAATCAAAGCAACAGAAGATCCAAGTAGTATATGTAGAACAGATGCTTTGGATACAGATTGGGTCACACCATTAAATTATTAGCTTCACCACTGGCATCACTTAAAATTACAGCTTTTCAACATGAGTAACTGTGGAAACATAACATTAAGTACAGAGGAATTTCAGACTAAGGTTTATAGACTGACATACACACTTTCTCCTGATGAGCATTAGTGGTAATTGCTGGCATGTCAATCCTAATTGCTATGACAAACTTTGATTTCAAAGACCAACCACTGAAAGACCGGATGAGATTTATAACTGCAGCCACAGCTTTAGTTTCAGCATTCCAAAGTAATTATTAATGAGGCATGATTAAGTAGATGGAAATCAGCAGGTTGTGCTATTCCCAGTGTTAAGAAAGGTTCAGAAATAGGTAAGTGTAAAGAAAAGGTGATCCTTCACAGAGACCTCGTACAAAAAGCTATTTATCTTAGGAAAAGAGAGCCAATTAATACACACGTAGTTAAATACTGTTTAGCCAACTCCAGGCAGGGGAGCATGTGCTGGAGGTTGGTAGTGAAACACCACCCTGCCTCGCTCCAGCTGAGTGGTTCCACACAGCAGTGCAAAAGAAACCACCAGGAGTTTTGAGTTTTGCCATTCACAAGCAGCTCCACTGAGCTCAGAGCATGTTCTGGAGAACAGCCAGTCGCAGTTAATCTCCAACATGTTTACAGGGGAGAACTCCCCACACTATTCCACAGGAAAACATTAGACCAAATCACCGCAGACAACTCAGTTTGTGCTTATTTTTAGGCTCTACCACAACTATACTTGGTTCTACCACAGCTATTCGTACACCAACTGACAATTTATTTTCAGCATTTATAACAATGTGAATTCCTCAGGATTTACTCAGGTTCTACAAAACACAAGTGGGATATTAATTTTTCCCTTCTGACATCTAACTGCAGCTTTAAGACAGGAGATTTCAGCTTCTGCCAAAGAAAATATTTTACATATTTATCACTTCCATTCTTTTCATAAATCACATTCATGACTCAGCTTTTCAGCAGAAGGTTTGTGCTCTGTTCAGGATGGCAGCAAGTGTGTAATTCTTAAGACACAAGCATTGTCTTATTCTACTGACAGAGCCCCCAGAGACTTGTGTATCACGAGTAACAGCACATTGTGACAATCAACTGCAAACGTTGCACTGATGCAAGACTTGCAATGCAGAACAGCATTAAGGATGCAAAAGGATGGCTCTTCCTACTGCAGACAGGGTTTGAAACTGGCAATTGTATTAACTACATCACAACATCATGTGGTGGTTCTTTCCATACCTATGGAGGTGAAGAACTCTGCTTCTGCGTGCCAGATCAAGAGAACACAGGTAAAGAACACCCACTGCAGCCTGGGCTTCATCTTCCAAATAGCTCAAACCTGTAACAAATTAAAAGGAAAATGCGGAGTAAAAATTAACAACTTGTGAGGAAAAAAACCATGGCATGGGGGTTGGAACTAAGGTCCCTTCCAACCCAACCCATCATCATAAGATCTTCATCTTGTGTCATTTCATCCTCATGGAAAATTATTTAGGTACTTGAAAGACTGAATTCTAATCAGTAAAGCTGAAAAAAAGAGTAATCTTCAAACACAGGAGCTGTTACTCAAGAGTCTCAAATGCTATCTGGTGTACTCTTTGGGATTTACGTGGAAGACACTGCAGTCCATGGGAGGCCCACATGAGAAGTAATGGAAGCAATCTACCCCATCCACTGAGATAGCGAGAACAAGACCTTGTGCAAGGGCAGCTCAATGCCTTCCACATCATGCATAACTACAGCTGGAAAATAAGAGAGTACACAAGGCTGATTTCTCTTCCAATAATAATAAAAGGCTAAATTAAATGGTCAGACTTGTAACATGCTGTAAAACTCAGTTATATAAAAACTGTCTAGAAATACACATAGTGGGAAAGCCAAACAGAGAAACAGAGCATGCTGTAGTGTGGCAGCGGTGGTTGGAAAAGCTGAAAGAGAAATTTCCAGCTCTGCTTATTCGAGATGTGTCATCCCAGCATATTGGCCCTGGACGTGGCCATCACAGCTTCTGAATTTCAAAGCCAGGTTTGAAACCCAGGCCCTCGAGATGGTGCCTGCAAGTGACTGCTGTGCTTCAAGAGCGCAGCCCACCGAGGGCATGAAGGGAAAGCCCATCTGAGCAGAGCTGCAGGTGGTGGACAAGTGAAGTCAGCGATGCAAGGTCTGCACAGAAGAGCCTCTGGGGAGCTGTACTTTTCCTGGTAGACCTGACTGATGGCCAGGACTGCCTCTTCCAGGAAATCCATGAGGAGCCTGCCCCGCACTCGGAGCAGCCCACTGCTGACCCCAGAGCTGCCTGTTCACTGAGCAGGAACCACCACGGGCAGCCCTCACGGACAAGCACTGCTGCTCAGAGAACACCGAGCTCTCCCAACACCCGTGCACACACACGGTGTCAAAAGGAAGACGACAACTGCTCACCTTAATTCAACTCATTGATTTGTTTTCCCTACTCTGTAACTGGGCAAAGTTTTCAATGGCTTTAACCTGCCCGAGGGGAGATTGAGATGAGCTCTTGGGCAGAAGCTCTTCCCTGGGAGGGTGCTGAGGCGCTGGCACAGGGTGCCCAGAGGAGCTGTGGCTGCCCCATCCCTGGCAGTGTTCAAGGCCAGGTTGGACACGGGGGCTTGGAGCAACCTGCTCTAGTGGAAGGTGTCCCTGCCCGGGGCAGGGGTTGGAGCTGGAGGAGCTTTAAGGTCCCTTCAACCCAAACCTGTCTGGGATTCTACAGAACTGGTGGCTGGAAGTGACCACTTGCAACCTGCTGTTACTCCAATTACAGCAACCAACACGCAGCTATTCGGAGCAAAATGGAATCACTTAAATCTGAAGAGAAAGGGCAGCGGAGGAGAAAAAGGAAGGAAAACACACTGAATAAAACACACCATCAGTGATACAACCATCACTAAGAACATTACCAAGAGCTCTGTTCTCTTCTCTGTATTATCACACAGCAAGATGATTGTTTTTAAATTATTCTTTGAATTACTCTGGAAGCCTACACAAGCAATCAGAAACATTTACCACAACAGTCTGCAAGCATGAGTAAGCAGGAAAATGTCTCACAGCATCATAGTAAAGTTTTCTTTCCCTCTTCTGTTTCTCACCCCCCTGCAAACCACATATTCCCAAACTGCTTGTTTAAGTTAGTTCAGAACCAGTACATGGGTAATCTGAGAATTGAGCAAAGCTGAATGAACAGTACCACGCAGAGGTCTGCCAATATTAAAAGCCACAATAAGTGATGTAGCAGAAAGCACAGCAAGTCAGGAGCACTTGGGAAGTACATTAATTTGGATATATTAAGCCACAACTGTCCATCTGCATTGCCTGTCATCGTTTCACTGAGTGCTTTTCTGGATGTGCTACACAAAGCCTGGCAAAACAATTACAAGGGAATTTTCCAGTTAACACAACTCGACATTCTCTGCCCTGCACCTCCCCACCATGTTTTCTCATGGCTGAGGATATCTGCCAAGAACACTTACTACAGCTAGCAGCTTGTCTTTATAGCAGATCTTTAACAGCTTTGCCATCCTACTCAGATTTACTTGAGTCAATAAACAGAAACCTCAGTAAACAGAGAAAGGAGCTCTGGCTTGCACAAGCAGGACACCTGGCTGCAGGGCTTTCATGCTGTTTGTACACATTCTTTTCACAGCTGTTATTTGGGGAATCAGCACAAATAATGACTTACAGGAGGCTGAGCATGATGCTATAACCACATTCTTGGACAGCACAAGACGTATGCATGCACGCACGCATGCGTGCCCACCCCACCGTATCTAAACCATCTGCTCACAAAGAGGGTAAGAGGCAGAAGAGACATTAGCACCTCCTACCTCAATAACTGAGACAAATGTTTATCAAGCCAATGTGTTTTATTTGGAGAACGGAAGGACCTAGTTACATGGAAACGACAGGTAAGAAGTCTGTGTAGGACAAATATTGCCTACGTTCCTGGCTTTGTGTCAGCAGCATCTTCAAATGAAGACATCATGTTGGACACGTGAATTTAGGATCTCCTTTCTTTTAAGTGAGCATAGTGACATTCCTCTGCAACAGACTGAGCAGAGACACTGGGTTCAGTCCACCTTGGATTACAACCCCCCTCCATGCAGGAACTGACAGCAGATAGTTCCCCTTGTCCCGAGCTGGAGCTGTAAGACAGCCCAGGACAAGCAGAATCCCACCCCAGCTCATCAGGCTGCATCAAGTGCCATCAGCACAGGGATCCTCAGGCCATGTGTACCTCAGAGATGAGCACTTACACCACTGCTTTACCTGTGAGACAGTTCTCCTCGTTAGTGAGAAGCTGTTTCAGCAACACTGGTAGAACAAAACTTCCCTGCATGCAGTAACAGATATTTAGTGTTCTGCTCCTTGCCTTCCCTTCAATGTGCCCAGCCAGCAGAGCTGAAACGCTAACCAAATGGATATAGTATGAACACTTTACCTCTTTTGAGTACAAGCAGTGAATCATTGCTCCCATTGGAAAGAGT